CCTGGCTCCAAGCCCACTGGGGACACTGGGAGATGGCGGCCATCTTAATGGGGGGGATGGGCATTTGAGGGGGAACAGGGAGGGGGACGAGGGTGTGAGGAGGGAGGGGCTGTGGTGGGTGCACGGTGTGCGGGGAGCAGGCTCGAGGGGGATTCGAAGAGGGATAGGCCAGGGGGCAGGATGGGAGATGGGGGGGCCAGGCAGAGTTTGAGGGGTGTTAGCTGTTGGCGAATCTGTTGCTCGTCCCCCTCCTGCTCCGTGGGACCGAGAACACCTGTGGAGGGAGGCTCCCAGGCGGTTGAGGGGCAGCTGGTGAGCAAGGGGTGGGGGAGTTAAGGCCCATTGGGACCATCCGGCCGGGTTCCTCCAGCACCTTTAACGCTGCCCCCGAGTCGCGGTGTCCCCGGCGTTACCCAGCACTGGGTGAGAACAGACGGGCGACGGCGCCACCATCACACCTGGGTCCTGGCTCCCAGCCCCCTGCTCTAACCACTAGACCCCACTCCCCACCCAGAGCTGGGAATGGAGCCCTCTGACCCCCAGCTTTCTGCTGCCCTCTAGCCAATGGTGTATAAACAAAGCCTGTGTCACGTCCCTCTCTGGGGGCCTGGCCACATAACCACTGACAGTGTCTCCTCCAGCTCGGGGGCAGGGTCTCTGAGGGGGCATTAGAAGGTCCCTGGGTCTCTCCCGGATGGTGACCCCTTGGGGGCTCAGGATGGAATTTCTCTTTCAGTAATTTTCTTTTGAACCTGGTTTATTTAATTCACATGCTGAGAAAAGCCCCTTAGAACCAGGTGTTACTGTGTAAACCCATCATCACCGCTCAGCTATGGTGCAAGGGGCAGCAAACCCAGGCGTCCCCCATCGCGCCCGCTCCTCACACGGTGCCACGGCTCGTGTCGCAGGTGGGCAGGTTTGCAGGCTGAGAGGGAAGGCTGCAGAGTCAAACCCTCCAGCACCAGGAAATGCCACAGTTACGGCATTCTGAACGACCTTAACTCTGTAATGGTCCTGCATGAGGGGGCAAAGACAGCCTTTAATTGCATAATCACTTATTAAAGTTACCTACATGCGTCACCATCCGGGGTTGAACCCAGAATGAAAAGGGGATGGATTTTTCATGGAAATCGTGGTCAGTGGAAGATTGAAGACCAGACCCCGTGGTCGCCTGGCTCTCAGCCTGAGGCACCTTCCTCAAGGCTGCAGGGTAGGTTTAGGGTGACCTGTCCCCCCTCTCCAGAGAGACCCAGACAAGCTGGGAGCTGCATGACGCTTGGCCAGGCTGACGATCACTGGGTTTATTTCGTTTTCCAAAGACCTCTGCTTACTTAGACCGCACTAGATTTCACCCGCAGATTTGAGAGAATGTATGATGGACACAGGAAGAGACGAGACATCGTCGACTTCCTGTAGAGGCAGCCAGCAGCTGAGTTCCTTATTTGGGGCTCGGTGGAGCTGGAGACCGGGGTGTTGGTGGCAGCGCTGAGGGGCCCCTCCCTGACCCCGTCATGGCATCTGCTCTCACCGTCCTCTTCCTCGGTGAGTATCGGAGACAGCCAGGGTGTGTGTCTATGGGGTGGGGGGATCTGAGACCAGGACATGTGCCTATGGTGGGGATTGTGAGACGAGGGCGTGTGCCCATGTGGGGGGCAGAGATCTGAGACCACCGTGTAGGATCCAGTTGCTCTGGGATCTGGTCCTTAACGACCCATCTCCTTTCCAGGCTGCTGGCTGGCCGGGCGGAGCTGGGTGTCAGGAGGTGAGTATCTATGGGCAATGGGGCAGCTGGGGAAATTTCCACATAAAGGACAAGGAACGTGGGTCGGGGATGAAGGGTGCAGATCCCCCAAAGGGATGATCCTGTCAGACCCCTGCTCCCTCCCACACCCAGAGGTGGGGACTAAGACCTCGCCCCACTCATTACAGGGATGGGCACCACACAGGGTGAATTCACCGGCTCTCAAAGCTCTGCCCCCCAGGAAATACAGAGTGAAGGCACCAGCCACCCTGCAGCACCCCCGCACTGTGCCCCGGGAGCTGGCAGGAGCCCGGGGAACGGGTCAGGTAGAGCAGGGCTGTAAGACGTGGACACGCAGAGGGACTGGAGCAAAGCACCGTTGTGTCTCACCCTCGGCTTGCTGCACACACGCGTGCCACTGCTTTGCTCGTGGGTCCGGCTCAGCCCGGCCCGGCGTTCGGAACGTCCCCTGAACAGCTTTGGGAATATCCCGTCCCCAGAGGGGCCCCCGGCACCGTGCAGAGCGGAGCTAAATCCCCAGCGACTGGGAGCGGTTTCGGGTGTCGGAGCAGAGCCAGAGTTTGAGCCCCAGGGGTGGGCAGGAAACTGTCAGAACAACCGGGGGATTTTGCAAACGTGGTTTTCGGAGGCCTTTGCTCAAAGGACTCAGATTTGTCCCATGAACCCCACCCCGCACTCCTGTGCATACAGCACATTGCCGGACAATTGGGGTAAATGTGATTTTTAGAATATTTTAAAGAATAATCCACGTTCAGCCCAACACCAGCAGAGCTGCAGCTCTACTACAGTGTTAGAAAAACAGGAGGAGGGTGATTCTGATCTCCCCGGGGTCAATCCAGAGTCACCCCTGACTGCAGCGGGGGCAGGGCTGAATTGACCCTGGAGAACTGAAGGTATCTGAGACTGGAAATCTCCTTTCCCCCGTCCTCTGTCTCTCTCCCCATCTGTGATCCACGGGGCCGGGCCTGCACCCCAGGGACGGGCGGGGGGTAAAACGCTGGAGCGACAGATGGGCAGAGGATTGAGTCAGACGGACGCGGTTTGTGTCACCCCCACTTACTGCCTCTTTGTTTGTGCATCCAGAGGGGTCCTACCCCAAACCCTCCATCTCCGTCAGCCCCGGTGGGGTGATCCCTGTGGGGGGAAACGTCACCATCCGGTGTCGGAATCAGTACCTGGGCCTGAGGTTCCTCTTCTACAAGGCTGGAGATGGGAAGTATCTGACTTACACAGACCCTGCTGGCTCTGAGGCTGAATTTCCCATCACCAGCGCCAGCCAGGAACACGGTGGTAGCTACACCTGTCGTTATCATGACAAATCAGGCATCTACTCAGAGCCCAGTGACCCTGTGCAGATCATTGTAGCAGGTGAGGGGCCCAGCCTAGCATCTCCTGCCCCACACCCAGCTAGATCCCCGGGGGGCTCGCACCAATGGGCCACTCAGAGCCAGGCTCTGCCCTGAGCCCTGGGCCCAGCAGAGGGGACACCCGGCCAGGAAGCGAGGACGGAGTCACTGGGGGGTTCCCAGCCAGGGGGGAGCAGCCTTCTACCCTGCACATGGTCTGACGCTGCCCTGGTCACCGCGGTGTCGGGTGCCTGCCAGTTGAGCATTAAGCGACGTGGCCCCGTCTGTCGCGGGCGGGTCATTCTCTCTCATCCTCTCTCCGGGGGAGGTCTGTGCCCACCATGGAGGGTCTGGTCTGGGGCGGTTTGGGGGGTCAATGGCCGCGCTGCCCTGGGTCAATAACGGAGCAGGCCGGCCGGGGCAGGGCGCTGGCCTTGGAGCCGGAGGTGGGGAGGTTTGGGGGGCCGTTGGCTGCTGGGGGAGCTCGTTCTGCAGCCTGGGCCCGGTCCCGGAGGAAGTTCTGTCCCCTGCCCAGACGAACGTGACCCTGATTGTGGCCGGGACGGAGGCAGGGAGCCGTCACCCCGGGGTCACCCCAGAGCTGGGGGCTGTTGTCGGGTGTCTGCCCTGGAGCTGGGGGCTGGTGTGCGGCACCCGGGCCAGCTCTGATGGAGCTGAAAATAGCAATGGAGCCGTGGCCGGGCAGGACTAGCCGCTCACGAGTGCACCCAGCCCAGGCCCACGCACCCGGCACTCGCAGCACCCTGCAAACGGAGCCGTGGATACGCTGGGCTCAGCCCTCGGGCACCTCGGAGATCAGGGCAGAGACCTCGAACTTGACTCCGTCTGCGGGAAGCCGATGCAGGGGTCAGCTCCAGCCGTGCACTGCGCCAGAGAACAGCCCCATCACTCTGTGTCCAGGGCAGGCCAGATGCAGTGAACGAGGCAGGGGCCACACACGGGCATATGAGGATCCCAAGCACTAGGGAGCCGCGGCTCGGTGTCTGTGGGGCTGGGAGCCCAGCTCGCAGGGCCGGGATTCTGGGTGGGGGGAATTCTGGGATCTGGGAGAGAATCTCTGCCCGGGGGCCCTGGATCTGCCCATGGCTGGGACCGGCCGGGGAGGCTGGGGCTGGGTGGGTGACCGGGTCTGGGCTCTCACAGCCTGTCTCCTGTGCACTGCAGAGCTCATCTTCCGCAAACCCTCCATCTCCCTGCGCCCCAGCGGGGGGGTCGCCCCAGGGGGA